ACTGACAGGTCACTTCCCTGCACTTCCCCGAGCCCACAGGAGCGCTCACACTTACTCTGCACACAGTCCCACTCAAACGCACATGCTCCTGCATTCATGGACTTGCACACACTCACGCTCACATCTTCATTCACACACAGCTGTTCACACAGACTCACATACACCACCTACTCATACACACAATCACACACTTCCGTGCCCCCTCTCACACGCTTACGCATGTGCACATACCACAATTTTACACTTCCATTTGTGAGTTTACACACTCACACGCACTGAAGGCAGGATCAGAGCAGTTACCCCGTCCTCAGGCTGTGCTCCACACCCCTGGAAACCCTGCCCCCACAGCAGGCACTCCCAGGCCAGCCTGAGCCTGCGGCCCCTAACGCTTTGGAGCGTGTGGCTGACTCTGTGCTCTTCCCTCCTGCAGAGCTCACCAACAGCCCGGGTGGGCTCATCCCTACACTCTCCGAGTTGGACACAGAACGGCCCATCTGTCCCTAGGGGAGGCTGAGGCTGCTGGTGGGAGTTTCCCAGCATTCCTCGCTCCTGACATTGAAGGAGTCTGTGAGGCCCAGCCACCCAGAGACAGACCCGAGGAAATGGGGAGGGGTGCCCATAGCAGGGTACAAGCAGGAGCTGCGGGTGGTGGAGAGGCCCGAGCTTCCCTGCACAGTTGACACGATGGTCCCCCGTTTTCCCAGAGAAAAACCGGGCTGCCCTGACCGGTGTGGCTCAGTTGGTTGGGCATCTTTCCACAAACAAAAAGTCGCCGATTTGATTCCCAGCCAGGGCACAGACCTGAATTGCAGGCCCGGTCCCCAGCTGGGGTGCCATTTGAGTACATGTGAGAGATAACTAACTGATCGATGTTTCTCTCACACATCAATGTTTCTCTCCCTGTCTTTCTCCCTCCCTTCTCGTCTCTAAATAAATAAATAAATAAAATCTGTTTTAAAAAAAGAACTAGGACCACAGTCTCCCAAGGACCCTTCCACCAGGTGTCAGAATTGGGCACATGAGACCCAGCCCCTGAAGCCTCAGAGGGCCCACAAATGCGTCCTCAGGCCCTTCGCTGGTCAGAGACCAGGTGGCACTCTCTGTCTCTGAGCAGAGTTGCTGCTGTGGCTGGCAAGCCATGCCCAGTGTCGGGCTGCAGAAAACAACCTGGTTCACGGCTACACAGAAAATCAAGTCGACGATGCGAGGTAGCAGCCAACTGACAGGTCGGCCCAGACCCTGGGCCGGGGCCCGAATCTTCTGGCTGCCTCCCCATCCACACCTTGGAATAAAGAAGTGCCTGCTCATTCCAGGTCCCCCATGGAATATTAACTTGATTCTAGGCACAGGGACACAGTCAAAGCTTCCGAGGGGCTAGAAGGGACTCTTTCACTAGTGGAGGGGGTGACTACAGGTGCATTGGGGACACAAGGCAAGAGGGAGGTTGCCCAGGGCTGATGCCCAGGGCTCCTGCAGTCCACACATGCCAACCTCCCCATGCCAGGCTCTCAGCCAGACAAGACAGTCTCTCCATGCCCGGCATTCTTGACCCCTGCCAGGGATGAGCAGGCCCTGCCCACTGGATGCCCAGACTGGGCTGACAGGGCCTAGAGCAGTGCCCTCTCTGGAGCCAAGGCCTGGGCTCGCCGCCAGAGCACGCCATGGCTGGGCAGCCAGTACTGGCAGGGCCTTCCTGCACTGGACACTCAGACCCAGGCTCTGACCCAGACATCCACTTGCAGCTGCCAGGAGCACCAGCTGCAGCTGGCTCACAGTGGAGAACCCCCTGAGCAGTCAGTCACCTTCGACAGACAAGAGCCGCCTTGCCCAAAATTATGCTTCCTACCCTAGAAGGTGTTCTATGTGTCCAGGGACAGGTAAATGGCTCCCCCCCTCGCTCAGATTACCTCCGAAGGGTCCGAGCTCCAGTGGGATCCACCGCAGTGTCTCTTGCAAGCCCTTGCTCCTCACAGGTGTCGTTCCCAAGGCATGCAGACCCGGGAATCCCAGGTTCTCGGCCCACCCTGGCCTCCTGAGCAAGGACGCTGGCGTCAGAAGGATGGTGTGAGCAGAAAAGGGTCGACACATGTGCCCTCAGGCCTGGACCCAGTCCACACAGACACATGTATACACACACGTGCCCTGCCTCAAGTCTGCCCTACTGTCCCATGCCCTGGTGGAGAAGCCCTGCGTGAAAGCCCCGCCCCCAATGCCTCTATTCCCTCTTCACTCAGCCCTGGGGAACTGGAAGTTGGCTGCAAGGATGGGTCAGTGTCTGGACCGTCCCCTTGGATGTGCACTCGACCCTAGGCCCTGAGGAGTTAGGCTTGCTGACCAGTAGGGTCTCTACCAGCCGCTCTAGAATCCTCAGCTCAGCAGGCCAGTCCCCGGGCTTGGGGGCCCTGGATGACCCCAGGATCAGCCCCTGGCAATTTTGGGAGGTGGCCAAAATGGGCCAGGCCAGCCAGGGGCCTGAATAGCACTGGCTATTTCTGAGGCAGCTGCCCCTCTTCAGGGGATGGCCGGGGGCCCGGCGAGCACCCGGGCCCAGGGCCCAGCTGCAGTGAAAGCACAGCCCCAGAAAGGGAGGGTGCAGCCCACACACACCTCCTCCAGCAGCCCGCTCTGCCCAAGGAGATGAGGACAACACCCCTCCACCTGTCAACTCTCCCTTTGAGGGTGTCAGCCGTCCCTATGTCCCTGCTTCAGAGAGGACACCGAGCCAGGGCTAGGGCCGGAGATCTGGCCTCTGAGAACGCTGTTCTTTCTCCCAAGGCTCTGGTGACTGATGGCCGCTCCACAGGCCATGAGGTGGCCCAGCAGGGCACAGAGCAACTGGCCCCAGTGTGGATCCTTTTGAAAGTATGGAGGGTGTCCTCACCTCCATCTTCCACTGATATCCACCAATATGCCTCTTCCAGCCCAGCACAGGGCGCACTAGGCACAGAGAAGGCCCCGGGGCCCCTCCTCCCACCTAGCACCACCTTCTCTCACTCCCAGCCAGCCTGCCCTGCAGGCCACAGTGGGAATGCTTAACCCACCACTTCCAGCCTGCGGTGGGGCCTCAGACCACAAACCAGGAAGTGGGGGGCGGGAGGGGGGAGCCCTCCTTGCAGAGGTTGTGCAAGCCCCTGCCAGAACATCTGGAGAAGTGGGTTGCTGGCCCTGGCCCTGCCTCATCCTCCTGGGGGCCAGGGTTGCTCTCTTTTCTCATTCTCAAGATTGGGATAAAACACCCCTCTGGAAATATGTGAATTCCCATGATTTCTATAAAGACCATGCACCATTTGTGAAATAAGTAAAAATGAATACAGAACAGCACCCACCCTGCCCCTGCCCTCACCAGGGGCATGAAGCCGGACTGGGGCCTCAGTCTCCCTCCCGAAGTGAGGGAGATGGGGAGGGAGGGGGGAGGAGGGAGGAGGGAGGAGGACCGGGCACACAAGAAAGCTGGAAGGGGGACTCATTGTTTAGGTAGAATGGCTGCAGGGCTTGAGGAGGAAAAGAAAGTGGTGGAGTCACATCCAGGCCTACCTTATAAGCATGGGTTCGTGACACACTGCCCAGCCCTGGAAGCAGCACTAGTGCCACAAACTGCTGGGTAGCTTCCAGCAGGATGGAAGGCCGCTGCCCCTCCCTCCCCAGGAAGTCCTGGTTGGGGCCCTGGGATGGGGGTGGGAGGCTGGAGGGCTGGAGTTCAGCCCCTGGGCTGGTCAGAGAAGGAGCAGTTGGAGAGCAGTTCCTCCCAGCTGGACTTGCCCAGAGACCAGGTGCCATATGTATCAAAGGTCACCCTTCACATGACCCACCCAGCGCCCCCATCTGACACCATCCTATGCCCAGTTCTCTCCCAGGCCCCGCACACCCAGGGCCAGGGTTTTTCCAGACAGGGGTGGGCTGTACAGGGAGTGAGGCTGTGCCTGCGATGGCACAGGGCCTGCAGACCCAGAAACACCCTGGAGTGTGTGTGTGGGGGGGGGGTCTTTTGAGTGTTAGGAGCTTCCAGTGAGCCTTCTGTCCCCAAAGTAGCCCTGTAACTGAACAGCAACTGCCCATGATCCTTCCTTCCTCTGGGCCAGGCACTGCCCTACCCAGATTTCCCTTCCCTTCCTCCGGGGCACAAATCCGACTTGAAAGATTATAGGAAGAGTGGGCAATTGGTGCTGAGTGTGGATAGGGGCTCAGAGGTGGAGGGCAGCAGTGTTCCCCACTCTGTCCCTAGCTGCTGCTAAGCAAGGCTGCATTCACTGCTCCGCTCAGATCCCCACAGTCCTAGTCCATGCCCCAGCTCGTGAGGAAGCTGGCCATGCTCCAGCAGGCCCACTCCAGGACAGGGCCAGGCTCCCCTCAGCATCTTAGGGGTGGGAGAGATGGGGGCTCCACTGCTGAGACAGACTCCCCGACTGCTTGTGAAGGCACAGCGTCAGCTTCCCAGACATAGTCTTTCCAGCCCACTCCCCCAACGCGTCCTCTCTACCCAAACGACTCCTTCTGAAGCGCAGGAAGTCGCGCCCCAAGGACCAGGTCTCCCTCCACCTCCCTCAGATGACCTCCACGTGGACCCCACTGTCTGAAAGCCCCTTCTCCAAAGCACTACTCCTACAACCGAGGCCCCTCAAGGGCCCAGATTTATGACGGACCAGTGGTCTGACCCCCAGCTGGTGGTGCAGTGGGTTCTACGGACGTGGGGGGGACCAAAGTGCAAGAAGGCCGGTGGCAGGTCACTGGGAGCGGCGTCGCGGTGACAGGCAGGTCTGGCCCCAACCCCAGACGCCTTCCCCGGTTCTCACAACACAGTGCCCTGGCAGTCGCGGGTTTTTGTCCAAGATGGGAGGTGGGACACCCGGCAAAAGGACCTCCGGGGTGCACGGCTCCCGCGCAGCCACCCCCGTGTGGCCCCACCCCGACTCCTCCTACGAGGCGGAGTCCATGCCCAATGCCTGTGGCGGCCCCCCCCCCAGCCTCCGTCCTCCTCCGCGCAGGCGCAGGCGCCGGCTCCACCCCCGGGCCGGGACGGTGCTTCCGGGGTTGGCTCCGGGGTTGGCTCCCGAGTGGGCTGTAACCCGGGGTGGTCTCAGTCCCAGAAGAGTTCCGGTCTAAGCCACGGGATGCCGGTGCGTAGCGGGATCCAGGTGAGCCCGCTTGTCGCTCCACTCATGGCCGAGGGGCAGTCTCCGAGGGTGAAACTCTTACCCTGAGTCGCACAATCCGCGGAAAACTAGTAACATGCGCGTGGTGGGCCCCCGACAGGGTCTTCGGTTCCCAGGCAAGCGCTCGGCGGGCTCGGGCTCACGGCTAGGCTCCATTTTCCAGAAGTAAAGTCGAGGTCTGGTCCAAGGTCTCCAAACAGGTCTGGGAGGATACCCTGACACCGGTGAGATGCTAGGCACTCAAGCCCAGATCCTAGGAGCCATGTCCCCTCTCCTAGGAGCCAGCCAGCAGACAGAAATGACCATGGAGGGTAGCCTAGCAGTTAGCTCTAGTGTCTGTCACAGCCGGGGAAATGTTGCGCTTTATTTACTGATTCCGTGTTTGCCCAGCTTCTGATGGAAGGCTGGTGGGTCCCTTGGAGACCTCCATCCAGGCCAGACCCTCCCAGCCTGGAAGAGACTCGTCCCCAGATTTTTCCCGGAGGTACCCCAGGTGGACTCTGTTTCTCACATCCATTCACTGAGCACTGGCGTCATGCCGATCAGGGGCTTGCCTGGATTCTCTCGTGTACAGTGCACGTTATTGGTTCCCGTACCATAGATGGGGAAACAGAGGTGGACACCCTTCAGTTTATTTTCTGGGGCTTCTCACCCAGGGAACCCTCATTTCTAAGCAGGGCCAGGTGACACATGTCAGGCACCCAGGTACACGGTTTGAGGCAGCACTCACCCTTGGGTGCAATAGCAGGGTCACACCGTTGCTCAGCTCTCGGGTTATACAGCTTGCACCACATTCACTACAGAGGCCTGTGAGGCAGCTTGGAATCCCAGGTCTGTAGTGGGGAGGCTAAGGCCTCTCCGAGCCTCAGTCCCTGGACATCCATATGAGTCCCCCCACCACCCAGGGTGGGCTGGCGCAGAGACCCAGGGTGACCCAAGTACCAAGAGGCAGGCCAGGGGCCAAACTCAGGGTGAGAGCAGGGGCCGTGGCATCCCAGAGTCTGAGCCCATGGTAGGTATTGGCAGATGGGCAGGACTGCAAAGACGGTCACGTCAGCGTCCATTCTCAGCAGACTGGCGGTCTCCGCTTGACATGGAATGTCAGCTCTTATGTTAAAAATAATGGGTCTGTCACATGTTAGGGAGACATGGGTACTGCCGAAGGTCAGCCCTTGAGGATGGTGTTTCCAGGCCCCGATGCTCACCTGCTCCCTTTATTTACCCCTGCTCCTTGGAGGTCAGCTGTTCCTAGAACAGCCATGTGTATGTGCTCAGATTTCCTGGGGTGGGGTGGGGGCAGGGCAGGGGCCTTGCGGCAGGTAGGAGGCGGAAGCTGTGCAGGTTCTCAGCCAATCCTCCTCATCCCTCAGGAGACCTGTCCTTTGCCCTACTTGTTCCTTGTCATCCTGACATCCTGGGTCATGAGGCAGAGAACATTTGGGGACTCACTGTGTGTGTGTGTGTGGGGGGGGTCATGAGCTTGGAATGGGGCCAGATGGTTAGCCTGGTGTTTACTCACCAGCGTGTGTCAGACCTTCTGGGCCGTTGTGAGGCGGAGTCTGACACAGTGGATATGTCAGCTGCAGCCGGCGCATGGACGGCCCACAATCCATTCCTCTACCAAATTCTTGGTTAAGGTCAGGTGCAAAGGGCAGCATTCCAGAAACAAGCTCAGAAGTTCTTTTGGATTCCTTGTAGTAAATGGGACTCAAAGGATACCAGCCCTCCTGTCCCAGGTTCTCGTGCCCACTGTCCCCTCCCTGGGCCCTGCAGCCCTTTGCTACTGCGTTGTACACCTTCTGCATGTGGCAGGCGTGTGAAGCAGAGTGGCCACCCTGTCACCACTGCCACCAACCTTTCCTTACATGTATTCCTTTCCCAACGCCTCTGGGGCCCAGCAAGGGGGTGAGACATCAGGTCTGTTTGTACAAAATGGTTCCCTCATGTTGCAAGTGAGAAAACTGAGGCAGGCAGTCAAATATAGTCCCAAAGCTCGCAAGGCAGCCTTCACTGCACAGTCCTCTGCCCACTCCTGTTCAGACACTTTACTTTGTTCTTTCCTGTTACAGCTTTCCCGCAAACTGGGGCAAAAAAAGCAGCGACCTTTGGAGGCAGAGCAGCATCAGAGCCCACCAGGTGGATCCCAAACACCTCCCCCCAAGGAGCCCCGCCTGGATCCACCCACAACCCTGGGCCCCCAGCGCAGTATCTATTTTTCAAACCGCCCTGCTCGCCTGGGATTAGAATTTTTCGACCAGCCTGCAGTCTCCCTGGCCCGGGCATTTCTGGGACAGGTAACGTAAACATAGTGAAGTGGCCTCTGCTGAAGTGGTCCTCACAGTGCAGCATCTGTGGTCCCGGACCCCTCACCACTGGGGCTCATGCCCCGGACCTGGTCCTGCTTGTCCTCACGCAGTTAGCTGCTTTGACACTTGTTCCTGGATAGCTTTGCCTCAGTCACCTGGGGCAGGAGGTGGGCCCGGATCAGCTGGGAAGAACACTGAGACTGTTAGGGGTGTCTGCCCTGGGAGGGGCAGAGGAGCCACTGTCTGCCTGCTCACCCGCTCTGGGCCCCGAAGACATCAGCCCTCTCCTCCTGATTGCCCTCAGGGCAGGTTTCTTTCAAGTGCTGGCCAGGTGTCTGTGAGGGACTAACTTTGCCTGCCCTGTCCCCTGACACAGTTAGAGCCCATCTGTAGTGTTCATTGCTTTTAGAGAAAGAAGGGAGAAAGAAAAATCAGTTGGTTGCCTTTCAAACACGCCCAGACCTGGGACTGACCCTGCAACCTAGGTATGTGCCCTAAGAATCAAACCTGCAACCTTTTGGTTACAGGGCAACGCTCCAACCAACTGAGCCACACTGGCCAGGGCAGTGGGGACAGCTTTTAGCCATGTGAGAGTGGCAGCCATGCCCCACGGACTGCCTGTGTCAGGACTGCCTCGACAACCGCCTCCTCGCCACGGCAGCTCACAGGGCCAGTGCTGGCTCCCCAGTGGCCCCTGTAGCTCAGCAGACCCAGGGTCTGGACTGGGAAACAGGGACCCTGCAGGGCCCTGTGCCAGCAGCAGTGCAGTTTCGGCCACATCTGTCCGGAGCACCATCTGGGTGTTGTTCCTGGGTGTCAGATTCAGGCCTGGTTTTCTGGTCCTTTTAGAGAGTCCATGGCCTACCCTGTGTTGTTTCGTGAGGCTACCTTACGTTGAAATGGTGAAAGTGAATCAGTTTCTGTGACTAATAGGAAAGCTGGTGCCAGGAAGTGGGTGCCCAGAGGAACAGACCCTGAAAGAAATGTGGGCTAGTGGAATGTAACCTGAAGGGGGACTTAGTGGGTAGGGGCCAGGTCTGTTCCCATGAGAATGCTTGCAGCTGCAAGGGCCGTGAGAGCCGTCTGGAGAGCCCTCGGTAATGAGGATTTGGGATCTCACACACAGGGGCACTGGAGTCCCTGAGTCGGGTCGGCCGGGGGCCCACAGGCCTCCGAGTGTCCTCCTCTCCCTTTAGGGGCTCATGTGCCCACTAAGCTGGAGGGTGGACAGGCAGCATCCAGCAGAAAAGGAGGTGCTTCACCCTGTGTCCCTGTAGCCTCTTTACAACTTCCCGTGACTGTCCTGGCAGACCCCTTGGCCAGGCTTGAGTCACCCCTCTGCAGAGCATTGCAACAAGCAGTGAGGTGCCGTGGCACCACACTCAAGTCAGCCTCTTGTCTGAGAAGGGTGTTGCGTGCCCCAGCACCCTCCCCCTGGAAGGAAGAGACGTGTTTGTAGTAGACATGGGAGCAGCCGGTGTCTACTACCTGGAAATTTCATCAGAGCGAAATTCAAAGCAGAAAATTCAAATGAAAACAATGCCAGTGAGAACAGGGCCACGAGAAGCTCCTCTCCAGAAGGGCAGCTGGCCTCCAGTGGGCCTCCTGGAGGTGTGGAAATGCGAAGAGTGATGCCAATAAAGGACGCCCTCTTTGATCTGGAAAGAGGGAAGTGAGCCCTCAACTGTGATGGAACAGAGCCTCCCTTTCTCGCCTGGAGATGGGCATCCGGGGGAGGCATCGACTCCCTTCTTCCCCACCCTGTCTCCAGGAAGCGCCACCCCACCACGTGCCTGGGCTTCAGCACACTCCTGGCCCTGCGGCACTGACCCTGGCTGCAGACACACTGGGCTCCCTGGTCTGGGCCGGTGGGGGAGTGGCCTGGCCTAAGAACAAGGCGGATGCTGCAGACATCCCTTTGTAGGGGCTGCCCCCAGAATCCAACAGTGAACCCTGGTCAAGTTGGCCCTGGGGCTATGAACCCTGGGCGTAACTGCTGCCCATTCCCAGGGTCATACTGTGCCGTGCAGCCAAGACAGTCGTCACCCCACAGGGCAGGAAGGCTCCAGGCAAGGGAGATTGACTCCCTGGCTTGCCCAGCACCCGACAGGCCCTCTGTGGCTCCTCTGACTGCTCTTCGAGGTGCCCTGCCGGCCTGAGAGCACCTACCCCTCCAGTGACGATGCCTGGCGACTGCCCCGTTCTCAGCTGGCCTCTCTGTCCCTTCCTGGCCCATTGCACACTGACCTCATTCCTTGTGGAGCTGGCTACACCCCGGGCCACGGTTCAGGTTAGGAGTGCTAGGGAGCAGCTGGTCCTGCTGCTCAGAAAGGCCTTTCACAGCTGGTAGGTGGGAGCTGAGTGTGACAGTGCTCCATAGTTCCACAGGCTCTCGGGTGTCCCAGGCAGCCGTGTGAGGACACCACAGGGGTGCCCTCCATGCTGCCCTGCCCCAGCCTAAGCACAAAAGTTCAGGGGGACTTAGTGGGGGTCGGGCAGTGTGATGGAGGGCCCCACTGACATGGAGTCAGTGAATTCCCTGGTGCAGGTTTGCAGCCCAGCAAAGGCCAGGGCTTGAGAGGCTGTCATCCATGGACAGGACTGTGAGCAAGGCCTGTTGTCTGGGGGCCCAGCCAGAGGGGATACTGGGAGTGAATGGGCTGGCCCCACTGTGCCCTGAGCTGACCCCAACTGCCTCCAGGTCTTGGTCCGGCAACTCGATGACAGCACAGAGCTCCGTGGCCGCATTGTGGAGACCGAGGCATACTTGGGGCCAGAGGACGAAGCTGCCCACTCAAGGGGCGGCCGGCAGACCCCCCGCAACCGCAGCATGTTCATGAAGCCGGGGACCCTGTATGTGTACCTCATCTATGGCATGTACTTCTGCATGAATGTCTCCAGCCGAGGTGAGCAGTGCTGGGGGGCTGGGGCAGGGTGCCTGGGCCCGGCCCCCCAGCTGGTAGCTGGGAGACCCCTGAGAGGACCAGGGCGAGGCAGGTGCTTGAGCAAGGAGGCACCAGTGCTAGGCTAGGTCAGGGTTTCGGGTGCCCTGGCTGTGTTCACAGGGTGGTCATAGGGGCCGGGCCCCCATTAGAGGTCACGGGTTGGCCAGAACACAGAGCAGACAGGTTTGGTTCCACGAGGCACCGCTAGGTCCAGAGCTCAGAGCCAGCAGCACCGATGGCCCAGGGTAGATTCAGGAGGGGCTGGCGGTGGCAGAAGGAGAGCGAAAACTGTTTGGGTTGGGTTCAGGCAGGAGCCTTGCCAGGCTGCCGTTACAGGGTCTGAATCAGTAGTTCTCAACTGGAGATGAGTCTGCCACCCTGGGGGACACTAGGCAATGCCTGCAGACATTTTTGGTCGTCACAGCTGGTGGGATGCAGCTCACAGTGCACAGGAGAAGCCCCCCGCCACACAGAACTATCCGCCCCAAACGTCAGTAGTACAGAAGGGAGGTGCTGATCTAGAGCTCCCAGGAGAACCCACTCACCTTGTGGGACCGGTCTGGGCAGCCTCTGCCCTCTGAGAGCAGGTGGCGGTCCTCTGGATGGTTTGTGCTCAGAAGAGCAAGCCCATACCACCAGCTGGTCAGAGCCTAACCAGGAGCAGCCTGCCTGGCCACTCTGGCTAGCTAGTCCCAGCATCTGTCCACCCAGCCTCCCCTTGTTGGTCCCAGGGTGAACGAATGCTTGAGAGCAGTGAGGGGATGAGTGTGGGTATGCTATAAGGCATGTTTGCTTAGTGACTCAGTGATGAGGGGGCTGTGGTTGTCCAGAGACAGCAGCTGGGGACATTCAGTGCCACAGCTGCAGGGGCAAGAGGATGGGATAACCCACAGCATGAAAAGGGTATTGAGGGAACTGTCAAGGATAGTGGGGACCACCCCACGGGGTCCTGCTGTCCCCCTGGAGAGCTTATGTTGGTGTGGACTGTTTCTTCGGCAGCAAAACCAACCACCTCCTGTAACGTGGGCCTGAACTCAGAAGGAGAGGGGCTGAGTCCAGAGATGCCTGGGGCTGTGGCCAGTGAGGGAGGGAGGAGCCAGGGCTTCTGAGGGCAGACAGTGCAGACCTGGGAGGTGGCATATTACTTTCTGGACAAATGACCAAGATGCCCCAGGAACACCTAGTTCAGGGGGCAGGGGAGAAGGAAACCACATCTGTAGAGTCAGGGCCAAAGCTAAAGGTTATCCCAGTATATCAAGGGAGAGGGGAGGCGAAGTATATCACCCTCAGGGCAGAGGCAGTGCAGAGAAGAGCAGAGAGGGGAGATTGCTGAGGCGGAGCAGGTGGTGCGAGCAAAGGACCAGGGGTGGGACTGGACACTCGGGAAGGGTCAGGGCGTCCTGATTTTACCTCAGGGTGCGGGACTCAGCCGTGCTCCAGGAGCGGGGTATGCGTGATAGGTGGGGTAGGCTGCTCCTCGGAACCATTTGGGGGCCTAGTGGGAGAGTGAGGGATGTGTCCCAGCCCCAGCGGCTCGGGGTGGACACGGGCAGCCCTGGCTGGGAAGGGCCCAGGAACTACAGAGCAGTTGGAACTTCAAGTCCTCGCTTGTCCTTAGGTGTCCTTTGAGGTCCGTTGAATACTGGCTGGTTAAAAGCGTCTGCTCACAAAAACCCCATTTGCCAGCTGCTGCTAGTGTAGGAGGGTGTAGCTGCTGTGTCCACTCAGGGCCAGCTCCTGGGTGCTGATGAGGCCTGCATGGTGAGGCCCAAGAGTGGGGACCGGCCTGGCCCTCCCTCAGGCTGAGCCAGTCAGACTCCGAAAGGGGAGGGGAGGCCACAGGGAGTCGGGAGAGCTGGTGTCTCAGAAGAGTGGCCTTGCTGGCGTTGGGATTCCTCTGGCCCCGGTCCAGGTAATCACCGCCCCTAGCCATGCAGGGCCAAGCGAATTTGGACAGATGTGTGTTCTTGGGCCCTAGATGTCAGTGTGCTGCCTGGCCTTTGAAGTAGCCTGGCCTGGTGGAGGAGAGCTGGGCCAGAGGGGATGCCAAGGGAGGTGAGGGGTACTGTCAACAGACACCTCATTCTGCCCGGTCAGTCTCCCCACTCGGTCATGGGGTGGGGCTCACCCAGCATCCCGTGAACACTTGGAACTGCCAACTTTCTGGCTTGCGCAATAGATTCTCAATGGGCAGAGGCAAGTGGGGGGGACTCTAAGGCCAGACAGGGATCTGGGCCAGCCCAGCAGCTTCCAGCCTCCTGGCGGGGTCGCCATGCCACCAGCTATCTGGGGTTTCCTCTGCCAGACTCAGCTGCTGCTGGTCACCAAACCAGAGAAGCCAAGAGGAAGCCCACTACAAGCACCCACTAAGCATTTCTGCTGGCTCTCTGGCTTCACAGGGGTCCCACTGGGGACCCCACGGGTGCAGATGTGCAAGAGGGAGACCAAGGCAGAGGGTCTGGATGGTCAATGAGTACAGGAGTGCTCATGAAGGCAGCTGTGCCATCCCTGCAGCACTGTTGTGCCCCAATCACTGTCTGTCTGTCTGTCTGTCTGTCTCACAGGGGATGGGGCATGTGTCCTGCTGCGAGCGCTGGAGCCCCTGGAAGGTCTGGAGACCATGCGGCAGCTTCGCAGTACCTCCCGGAGAGCCAGTACAGGCCGGGCCCTCAAAGACCGCGAGCTCTGCAGCGGACCCTCCAAGCTCTGTCAAGCCCTGGCCGTTGACAAGAGCTTCGACCAACGTGACCTCACCAAGGACAAGGCCATGTGGCTAGAGCGTGGCCCGCCGCAGCCCAGGGAGATGGCTGTGGTGGCAGCAGCCCGAGTGGGCATTGGCAGTGCAGGAGAGTGGGCCCAGAAGCCCCTGCGCTTCTATATCCAGGGCAGCCCCTGGGTCAGTGTGGTAGACAGAGCAGCTGAGCGGGATGCACAGGTCTGAACAAGAGCCTGCTCAGAACAAGCTTTTTAATTGTTTAAAACCCAAATAAACACTTCATTTCTAGAAAATGTGTCACTTGTGTCTCAGCCAGAGCTCCCCCCATAACAATCAGCTTCCTCCAGGACGGGAATATCAGGGCCCTGGGAGTGCAGCAGGGTAGAGTGTCCAGCCCACCGTGGACACGTCCTTCCTCAGGCCTGCTGCAGGCCCCTGCACTCCCCGCTGTGAGAGGGCTGGAAGCACCAGTGCAGACCAACCCCCTGGGGGCCAAGGAAGCACCGTGGGTCAGCCCAGGCCCTCATACATCAGGTGGGAAAGGCAGGGGGATGGCTTAGCCTGAGCTTCCTGGGGGCTAATACAGGGCTGTGGTGAGGGCCAGGCCAGGAATGCCCACAGGCTGGGAGGAATGGGACAGTGCTAGGCCACACAGGATGGTCCAGGCTCATGACCCTCAGTCTTGGAAGGGCAGCAGTGGAGGGGACCAAGGAACACAGGCAGGATTGGGAGGGAGGTCAAAGAAACGTAACCCAAACCTGTGTGGGAAGCACCTGGGCCTCGCTCAGCCTGAGTCCTGAATGCCCGTCCTCAGCTTAGAGCCTCACCCCCTCAGCTCAGATGCTGGGCCAGTTATGAGAACTATGTACGTGACACTGCCCCCACCCACTGCAGCAGCCGGGCTCTGCATCCTTGGCCCAGGCTCACGTAAGCAGCGCCTGGAAGACGGCGATGACCGGGTCCTCATGGGTGGTCACCACCAGCACGCTGCGGAACTTGTCGAAGAGCATGAGCAGCTGGGAGCGCCTTGTGTTCTCGTTGTACATGATCTCCTCTAGGTGGTGGCGGCCTCGGAAGTACTGCAGGAGCCTGGAGGGGAGGGGTGGCACAGCCCAGGCTGGCCTCTGTCCGACCGGCCGCTTAGCAGCCCACAGGCCCAGAGCGGGTGGAGGGGTCTCAGAGGCCTAGGGAAGCAGCTGTCCATGCCCCCCCAAAAGGAGCAGGCAGATGTCCTGGAGCCACTGAAGTGAGACTATGAGGACACATGGCTGTCCACCCCCAGCATTCTGACACACGTGGGGCAGCACAGGGCCAGTCTGCCAGAGGCTTCTCTTTCGTGCCACTGCAGCTACAAGCCCCCTGTGGTTCTGGATCCAAATGGGGTCACTGCTCCGGGGGTGTCCAGCTGGACCAGCTGCCTGGCATGTGGTTCTTAACTGGGGGCTCAGTCCCTCACAGCCTGACCTCTTCCACAAGACCATGCACCTGCAGTGCCCCCTAAGTCGGGGGCGGGGGATGACAAAGTCTGTGTCACCTATGATATAGATTCTCCCACCCCTAGGCCGAGTCCTAGGAAAAATCTCTTCCAAGCCTCAGGAGGATGAGAACTTGTTGCCAGGCCCTAAGAAGTGACAAGAAACACCTAGGAAGTACTGGTGATACTCCCCAAAGACAGAGGCACCAGATCCAGAGTCTCAGCAACAGACTGAATTCCTCACGCCTGGCACAAACGGACCAGGTAGGGCCACCCAAGTGCACGAGACGTCACCTCAACCAGTGAGTGCCATTTGTCATCAATGGGTTTCAGTTGGGGTGAGCTAAGTAGGTCCCCATCCACTTCCTGTCCTGACCCTGGACTCGGACCCAGCCCAGCAGTCACCCCGCACCCACCTGGCAAACATGCGGAGGTCCTCGGGGTTCTGGGCTGCAGGCACACTGAGGACGGCTGCCCGCTCGGGCTCTGACAGGCTGGCCAACAGGTTCTCTGTCATCCTCTTGTTCAGCGGGGAGTCCCCACTCGGGAGCAGCTCTGCACTGGAGTTGTCCATGCTGGGGCTTGTGAGTGTCATATCATCACTGCTGGCTGTGAGTGGGCATGGGTCAGGGACCAGTAGGCCCCCCAAGGATGCCCCCTCAACCCGACACGGAAGACAAAGAGCCCTGGGCAGGCCAGGTCCTTGAACTGAGCCTGAAGCTCTAGGTCAGGCCTCAGCTTGAGGAGGTGCTGCCCTGGAAACCTCCCAGCCCTTCCTCCTCAGCTCCCCAGCTGAGCTCCAGGGACCTGGGGCTTGGCAATGCACTGCTGCCTCTGGGGCACAGTATGGCCGTCACACCTCTTGCAAGAAGGGATTGTGACGGTCACTGTCTTCTCATAGGCCCTGGGGTACAGAGGTTTCAACTGTCTTGCCAGTGATGGATGACATGGCAGGCTGGGGGCAGGCTGCTCCTGACATGAACAAGCCTCTGTTCAAGAGCCCAAAGGTACAGCCTCCTCCTCAGAGCCAAAGAGGTACAGGGAAGTGGGGGAGAGGTCTCCTGGGCTCCTTTAAGGAAGGCAGTCTGCAAGAGGACCAAGCTGCCCACATGAGAAGCAGGTATATATGCACGTGTGGCCACGTGAAGGTCCCTCAGTCATTCCAGCAATGCCTTTGTTGGACCACCTTGGCCATCATTCCCAGGTGTCCCATAGGTGCCTACTTCCCCACCCTGCCACCACAAAGATGCCCTGGGCAGGGGACTCCTACTTGGGGAGCCAAAGCTGAGGGCATTGGGCGTGCTGAGGCTGCGACCGCCGACCCTGGTAGTGAAGGGGACTTCCTCCTCCCGCAGGCGGGGCTCATCCTGGCTGGGCGAGGCCATCAGGCAAACGTAGGTGTGCAGCTGGACCAGGAGCCTGTGCTGCAGCATCCACACCACCATCTGAATGAGCTGGGTCTGCAGGACAGACAGGGTGAGCTGGGCACTGGGAGAGGCTGGCCCCCACCACTGCCCTGTTCCGTTTCTGATAGGAATGGGGTGACTTGGCCTAAGATATGACCCTCACAAGTCACCCTGGAAATCCAGGGGTGCACGAGCTCCAGGGACTTGACTTAGGGCAGGAAGGTGGCTCCCGCCTCAGGAAGGAGCTCTTAGCCACTGGCTAACTCTGCGAGCCTAACAGCCTCCAGGGAAGGCAGTGATTCTAGAAGAGCAGCAGGGCCCTGGCTGCACTTGCTCCCACCACACAGCTGGCTGCCCTAGTGCCTGCCTGGCCTTTCTTGCTCAGAGCTGAGGACCAGGACCTGGCACTTGGAGGCCCATGTGCCCTCCCAGCTCTGAGCTGCCCCTCTCTTCCCTGTGTCCCCAGCCCACCGGGCCCTGCCACTCAAGCCTACCACCACACAGAGCTGGGCCTGTGGGACCCTCTCCCTGTGGCCTGCACACTATGCAGAAAGAAGCTGTGAGTAACTGCCCTGAGAGCAGGAAGCCCTCTCCTCAGGTCAACCCGAAAGCCTGCCCAGGAACCCCTGCTGAGCTGTGTGGTCCCTAGGACATGTCATCTGCCCCTCTTCCACAGGACGAGCAGCTGAGTAGGAGCAACGAGGAACCCTGTGTGGGCGGAGCTCCAGCACCAGCGAGCAGGAAAATGCACGCGGATGGTGTCCATGTTCTTGGACACACAGCCGTGGAAACAGGGTATGACCTAGTCACACCAAATAAAATTAAAAAGGACTGTAAAACTTTAAATTCAGAAATAAAACAGAGGCCCCATAAGCACAGAGGAACATATTCCTAAGGCAGGAGGGGTGAGAAGCAGACAGCCTCACCCCAGGACTGTGCAGAACCAAACCCAGTTCTATCTGGGCCCCCTGACAAGGCATGAGACTGCCCCTCAGGCATGGCCTAAAAATTCCACCAGCCTTCCAGACCACCAGAAAATTTCTGTTGGGGAGGGGGAGGGTGCAGATGCAAATGTGTCTTTCTTTCAGCTGGCATGACCTGGCACAGTTCCTGGAAACTGCAGGCTCCATGAAAGACGGCATTTAGAACTCTGTCTCACGCAGCATCTAAATGAACTGAGGAACCAGGATCGCCTTCTCATTCACAATTTGACAAAGGAAAGGGCTTGCTTCTAAAAACTGGTTCTGCCTAACAGATCTGCTGCTTATTAAAGTAAATACTTTACTTTGGAAGACACAGCCTTAAGAACACCCAGCCCCATCTCCGACACCTGTCCCATCTGGCCCTGCCCTGGGTGTCTGCCCAGAGCCCCAGGAGTTCAGCTGGGGGAAGGTCCAGGCCACACCCAAGCCTCCCGCAGACAGAACTCACCCTGCCATTCTGCAGGCCTCCCACCTCCCCGGAGCCCTCCACCCACCCCTCGCCCTGACCCAGGCCCATCCTCTCCATGTCCTCTTGGATGAGATTCTAGGTACCAGTGAGCCACCTGGGCCAGGACAGGGAGGGAAAAGGAGGGCAGGGCCCAGGCTCAGTGAAAACAAAACCAGCTCTGCCTCCTCCAGCTGTGGGATCCAGGCCCAGAAGGGGCACCAGGTGGCTCTGTCCTCCCGGCAAAGATCAGCACTCTTCTGAATGGGCCTCCTACTGTGGTCTTAACCCTAACAACAACCCACTGCAGCCAGGGCAGACTCATGGGGAAGGGGTGGGGGGGACTTGGGACTGCCCAAGTGCTGGATCTCTGGCCAAGCACCTGCAGGTGACCTGGCTGGGGAGCCGGCTTTCTGTTACCCTTGTAGGACACGGACCACCTACACAGCAAGGCCCCCAACCAGAGCTAAGGGTGTGGCAGTATTGAGAGCCCTTGGATCGGGTTCCTGGGCTCCCCTGGCTTCTGAGACTCACCTCTTGCACAGGGGGAGCGAGAGGGTTCCTAAATTCTGACAAGGAGACAGGCAAGGAGAACTTGGCAAGGACAGATGGCAGGTCATGAGACGGGAACTGGTGGGAGAACTGCTCAGCCAGCGGTGAGTACCTGGGGACAGGTGAGGCAAGTGTGTCCGTGAGCTCAGTGACTGCCCCATCATGATTCACGGCACTCACGCCCTCGCCGTGAGCCTGTGACAGGCAACAAGGAGGTGTGGCATGGTGGGTAGGTCAGGACGGGTGCAATGAGGACAGAGCCGGTTGCCTTCCTTCAGGGGGCAGCAGAAGCCATGGGCACCAGCCATCCCAGAGTTCCTCTTGAGCCCCTGAATGAAGGCCAAGGCTCCTGACCTCCCATCGGGCACATGGTACAGAGCTCACTGGCTGTAGACATGGCAGGTGCAGGCCCTTCTTGGAGGATGCA